CATCTTTTTTGATGTAGAAATTACTCTCGATCTACATAAACGTCCTTGATACTTTCTTTATCTACAGACCTTCCTCGATTGACAAGTCTTTATTCCCTGTTATCGACTGACAAGTCACACTAATCTCATTACAACAATTTGAACTCATTAAAAAGCATAAATTGACAGATATTGATTAGAACTATTCCCATCATAGTTACACACCTTCAGAGAGGGTGAAAACAATGTAGCTACACGTGAGCAAGCATACCTTTTATTTGCTTCAGTAAATGTCGCTGCAACCAGATAACGTCTGTTGAAGTATCCAATGTTTCTTCCTTTGGCTTTTTCTAAATATTTGGTCATGTTCCATCACGGAAAGCACTATCTTTGTCGATATCAACGAACTTAGTGTACGAGCTTGCCGAGTGTGTGTACATTTTAACCAGATCATTTATCTCCCAAAGACGATGCTTACATCAAATTTTAATGTCTGATCGATTTTAAATCTGGGCGCGCATTATTCAGCTTGTTTTGCTGCGAGAAGTTTAGTTTAATGCCCAGAAAACGAACAGTTTTGTTCTTGTAACAAAACATGAAACAAAAAGCACGTCGCTGATTATATTTACTTATCCCTGAAGAGGCTTTTAGCAGAGTGGATGTAAGTATTAAGCGAAATAATTAGATTAATTTCTAAGTCTCCATTTTTAAAACCAAGTGATTAACCATGTTAATGAAGTTTACTATAAGAAAATTCAAACATTTCTTCCTTAAAATCTAAACATAACCAAATAAAATTGAACAGCTCTGGTTTAAAAACACGAACAGTTCCAAGTATTTAAATCAAATGTCACAAACACACTTTACCAGAACTTAGTAAGAAATAATATGTAAAATTTTAGCAGTTTTCAAAGCAAAATGAGTTGTAATTTTTGAGATTTTAGTTGATGTTTGCTGTTTTATAAGAAGAGTTTTGAAATTTGTTTCTCGAAACCATTTCATAGTATTTGTCAACGAAAAATTTCTATTATCCACCCATTTGATTAAATATACAACTGAAGGCTACTTTTATACATTAACATGCCTGAAGTTTCTATAAAAGTGGAAAGATGGGGACTGTTTAATTGCTGGCTTCAAATTTTCAGGTGAAGTAGCCGTCCAGTTATATTTAAGTTCAATAATCTACCTGTTCGGGTTTCCAACATTGCAAGGTGCATTTTATCATAAAACAAAGCTGTCATAAAAATTTGGGAGGAGAGTCCCGGGCTTAAGAATCGTCAACGACAATCAGAGCAAACATTGTGTAAATAAGAGGCAGGAGAAGCTGAGAAATTATGGCCATCTTATGTCGAAACGAATGAAGAAAGCGTTTCTTGAACATAGCACACCACCTCTTGGTGAAACAAGGTTATTCCGTAGTTTAACTGTGGTTTGTTGTGTTTGTTATTGGCATCATGTTGTTGCGTCCATATAATGTGTCTTCATCATTCACTGTACTTACTTGAAGCGTTTATTGCATCCGCTAGATGACGTACAAAAAGAAAAAAAGTTTGACTTGAAACAATTCATGAACAAAAACAACTATTCAGTGTTGGTAAATGAAAACCACAAATCAGCATTTTCTAAAAATTAGTCAATACTAAACATAAACAATTACCACTTACCACAGCTTACTCTCAAGTCTATCATCTAAAACCTTGTCGCAATCCTTTTACTTCATTAATATCGTAATCAATAACATTTACCATTTTACCACAGCTTAAAGTTTGTTCATTACGGCGGATACAGGCAAGGTAACGTATTGTTAGCGCTTAGGCTTAGGATTTGATAAGGGTAGTGGTATATAGAGGAATATATTCATAGCTGCTGATACAGGCCAGGTATGGTTAACGCTAGGCTTTGGACTTGATTAGGATTGTGTATATAGGTGTATTAATAGCTGTAAATATAGGCCAGGTATGGTTGAGTATGTGTTAGGCTTAGAGTTAGTTATCGTTAGGATATAAGGTATAAAGTAATTTAGTACACTTTACCTTACTTATGAAAGTTTTTAGACTTATTTCAACAGATGTGACTTCCCTAGCGCATACTTTAATTTTTTTGCTACTCGGCATTCGTGCATAATTCAATTTGGTTAGTGTCATAAGACCTTGCAATTCATTATGGTATTTTTATTGTAAACAAAATGAAACGAATGTGTTTATGCTTAGATTATGTACTTATTTATCGAACTAACGTTTTAAAATGTCAATTTTAACGGCTAACTCACAAATGTTAAGATTTTGCTTTTATTTTATTTTCAGATCAGATGTTGAGATTGAATTTCAGATTTACATTATCAATGGCGTTTTATACCACGCATGATGAGTGGCTAAAAATTTTCAATTTTTTCGGCATATGGCTAGATTTATGAGAAATGTTTGGGCGGAATTTATACCTACAACAACAGTGGGAAGTCAGCCACCATAAGTGTCTTACATCAGCAAATATACCTATTCGTTCAAATTCTTATAATGAAATAAATTACTAAAAATTACATTTGAAAAAATGTACGAACAATAATATAATCCTAAACACCATGAACTTTTGCAAAAAGACTTATCGTCGTACGAAGCTGTGGATCTTACCAACATTTTTGTTGGTGTGACTGAATTTTTTTAAAATTCCTTTTACCACAAAGCATTACATGAAGTAATTGTTACTAGATATTAGTTTTAATTGTTTTTGTTGATTTTAAGTATAAAAATTAGGTAGTTAAAGTTTATCTGTCTGATTTTTGCAATTTAACCTATTCGGTTGCAAAATAGTTCATGTTTGATAAAATTCAAATTTTGTGTGACGTCTTATATGTAAGATTGACAAAGTTTGACCACATATGCAAATTTTCTAACCGTATCTGATCAATTGAGCGTAACACTCCTCCTTTGCCACTATTTAAAGCAGGTGGGAGAGTCTAAGCTCATCACGACAAATCTAGTGAAAAAATTGCATATATGGTCATACTGGTTGGAAATAACAAAAACTTCAACATCTGTTGAATAACAAAAGATAGGCTTAAAAATTGTTTAAAGGAATGTTCTGATATTTTAAAAGCTGTCTACAATAAATTATATAATTTAACATTCTTTTACATTTTCGCTATAATAAGAAATAGTCAAATGGTACATGACAATACGCTATGCTAAATTGAAAATGTTGAAAGCTGGCAATGTCGATGTCGATAAAAAAGAGGTTAATTTTATGGTAATTTTTCTGAGTTTTGACGTCTCATACTTATATATACATTTTAGTTGGTAAAGATAACGACAAAAGATTTTGTTCGTGAAGGAAGTGTTTCAAAACGAGGACCAAGGGTATGGAGAATGATCGTCATTGTCGCTTTAGGCGATGTAAAATAGTATTTTTATATATTACCTAAAGCTATTTTTATTCGCATTGGTAATTTGACTACGAACCCAAATACTCCTCAAGTGCTCACATTTTATTGTCCAACACAAATTCATACGACTTTTAAATCGTTAAGATGTACAACCTCACATATAAAAGAATGTAAAATAATATTGTCTTCTTTCTTTACTACTTACACTAACATCTTCTCTGTTTCACCTCCCCCTTTTTGCTTATCTTTCTTCCCTATCTCATCCCTCTATGCTCATCTTTCTTCCTATCTCATCCCTCTATGCTCATCTTTCTTCCTATCTCATCCCTTTATTTGTATTAGGCACGAAAGGTTATGACGTCACTCGGGTTTTAACGAATACGAGGCCCCGCTCGGCTACGGCTTTGATCTGCCACCAGATCGAGTTTACGAATTTAGTGCTGGCACGGAGGACGAACGCGAAGAGTGGGTTAAAGACTTGAAGAAAATAGTATCAACGTCATTAACGGAAGAAGATAGAAAAGGTTTGTAAGAATATTTTCTTTGTGAATTTCCGACATGCTTACTCAGATTGTAATTTGTTAAAAACCTACTGAGTTAATGTAAATTCAGCATCAAATTCTTGACATGGAAAAACTGCATATTGATTTTCCTGACCCTATTACGTCATTAAAAATAACAAAGACATTGTCAGTCCGTGTGGCATATTTATTTGCATACCGTGAATGGTCCAAAACGCCTCGGCGTTTAATAAATTATAGCGGCTGTAGTAAGGAGATAATTTCATGTGTTAAGGTTAAACTCCCGCGTGTTTCACGATAAGTTCACGCGTTGTTCTCATTATATTCACACTTATTTCATGATAACTGACTAAATATATATCGAGGCAGTTATTGCTTGAGGTTTGCCAACTGACAATCGCATAACCGTGTTTTAATAATCTCTTTCCAGCAATTATTGAGCGAAGATTTGAAAGAAAAAAATCTCAACAAAGTTCGTTATCCAGAATAAGTCAAAAATTTCATAAATATATAAATTATATTAATCTTTAAATTAATCTTTATATATATATAAATCTATATTTTTGTACATGATGCACCTAAAAGTCAAATGCCTTCAGACTTATATCAATAAACCAAGTCGCCAAATATACAGTAGCGACAATAGTTCATGCTTGCAAAATGCATGTAAATTATTGTACTGTCGTATAGGAAAAGAGCCGTGTTTATGATAAATACCACACACAAATTTTTATATTTATAACCGCAGAAATTTATTCACTTTCATTGATAAACCATACAATTGTTGATTTGTAAACATTTTCGCTCATGTAACAAGGCATGTTAATGTTTTATAAAATATTTTATGAAATATATAACAGTTTTACAATTGAAGAATCGCAGTGTGTTTTTTGAATGCCCCCCGAGTTCGCTCTGGAATATGTCACGTGAGAGAGCCTGGCATGTTTCTTGACATTATTTGATAACGTCATACTCCAATGATTTAGAACCCAATCCCCAAGATGTGAACGACATCCTGAGACAAGGACGCCATCTTGAATGGTGGCAAAAACCAACACTCTCAATCAAAAATAAGCTGAAAATTTAAAAAAAATTTTTAAAAACCAAACCTATACTATCAATTCTGCAACTGCGTTTTAAATGCAAAAATGCATATTTTACTCGTAATATCGTCAATTTTGCCACCTTTCAAGATGGCGGCTTGCCAAACTCGTAATTACAAATTTTGGCGGAGTCAGGTATCTAGTAGACTGGGTTCTAGGTCTGCATCGTGCTTACTTCTTTCTGCACTTTTGGTGTATGCAACATTTATTGGCGTATACAAGGCGCGATTGAAAAATTAAAATCAACAAACAATCATTAACACGATAAAAAGATTTCGTTATAATTCAAAATAAATGGTCACAGTGCCCCATGTATGACAATATTAATCGACCATCTAATCGTCGTAGCCTCCTGTGAGAGAGCAAAATTTAAAATATCTCATCCAGTGTGGTTTGCTTTATAGAATAATTACCGATAACAGAACGGCTGTGCGCATCTTCTAAGATCGCAAACAGGGAAGACCAAGAGCTTTTGAGTCGCCTATGTGGTAATTCAACCAGCCATTGTGCTCGTTTCTGAAGTACACTACCTGGGAAACGTCTCTGCCACGAATTCTTTTACCAAGGTCGTGTCATTACTGGGCGTGTCACTTGAGGGTTTACCAACAAAGTGAATCCTTGAACGAATTTGTTCTTCAGGTGTTGCGGGCTACCAAGAAAGCGCAATTTGCCATTTGCCATGATTGCTAACCGAGTACACAACGCCTCGCATTCTTCCATACTATGTGACGTAATCATCAGGCATCGACCTAAGGGAAGAGAGGAGGGAACAAAATGATTACCAATCATAAGGCATCGACATATGGAGAGAGGAGGGACAAACTGATTACTAATAATGAAGTTTTGTAACTGGCACTTAATTGCACTTTATGAGAAATTGAGCACAAGGCAAACCTTTCTTAATCATAGTCACGTGAGAAAACGTATTAATGTAAATTTATTTGAGTTCCATTATTGTGATGACGTCATATTATAGTTTATGACGTCATAACATAGGTAAAAGTTTCTATACATAGAGCGTTTTCATGGGTCGTCACATATATTTTTAAAAGGCTTTCAAGGAGAAAAAAGATCGATTTTCAAAGACCAAATTCAAATTTATTTGATGGCATTTCTGTCGTACTCAGCATGCGTAATATGCATTTTCAGGTAATAAATTTAACTGACATATACGCATAGATAAGACACAGACAAAATGCGCAAAGGTTAGACACTTAATTGTGACTTCATTACTATCGTTATAAACTCGCAAATTAAGGCAAAGAATACGCTTAGTAATTGCCCAAATTATTACCATTTTTACTTGAAAAGATCAAAAAAACAATTACAAAGTCAAAATTCAAGTAGTTTTCAAGGAGTTTTGGCATTTTGTCTTTCTTCAAGGGCTTTTCAAATACACTAAAGAGACATTAAGATTCAAGAGCTTTTGAAAGAGTTAAAGGAGAAGTGGAGCCCTGTTTAGTGCAATAAGCTCCAAAAGTATCTATCAATATCATCGATATAGTTAGCGTTCATCGCTATTGTTTGATTCAACCTATCTGAAAAGCCATTCATGTTACGTTGATACTGCCGTTGTTCAGAAAAATGAAATTTGCTAACCATAATTTTAATTACAGCAATTTTAAAAACACTTGAGAAAAACGACGATTTTTGAAAGCAAACATGTTTCGACATTATCAGAATGCCATCTTCAGTGCAGAATGGTTAGTGTTGTAATATGATACGAATATGATATGAATAAATTAATTACAATGAATAGGATTATGATTTAGTTACAAAATTATAAAATATTTACAAAAAAGAAAAGAAAATAAGTATTAAGAACTTTATAACAAAAATATTATTATAAAGTAAATATAGTGTTGTAGTGGTGAACTTGGATATTTAAATCGGGATTATTTTATTAATGTGTAGAGCTTCCTGATTTTGAGGAGAAAGTGGATTGATCAGTGTCGATGATTTTAAAAACAGGAGGTGAGAATTTGTTTTACATGAAGGAGAGGCTTGAAGATGTTTGTAGATAGTGGAGTTTTTGTCTGTGTGAGCATGTTCCTTATCCTGGTAGATAATTGGCGAGAAGTTTCGTTAAAGGGAATTACATCCCGCACATGAAAATTGATAAACTACCATAGATTTGAAAGTTCGGGAAGTGGGTCTTTAAACGAAAATAAAGATTTTATTTTAAAAGGTGTGAAAATAAGTTTAACGTCAATGTCAGTGCAGTAAAGGTTTGATGCAGTGAGCTTGCGTTGTGTGTGTCGTGAGTAATCACCCATGTAAGGTAGTTTGAAATAACGTTCATTGTCAGGTTGTTGTATATCGTTAGTGTTAGTTGTGGAGTTAGATGAGTCGCGCTTTGTTGGTCCAAACAGTGTTGTATAGTGCTTGTTGATGAAACGAAAAAGGAAAAAGATTATGTTGAGAGGAATATTTAGTTTTAAACTACGTTGGTGCCGACTGTCTGTGGTTGAAAAGTTTCTGTGCTCTCTTGTTTAATCAGTGTTCTGTGATTAGTCCACTTTGTAATTTAATGGTGAAAACTAAAAGAAGCCAGTAGTCCTATATATGGTTCTTGTGGTACGTAGAGGTCATATAGTTTTCTTGGTGTGATTTTATGGTAGATGTCAAGAGGCAACTGATTGTCTTGTTCGGTTTTGTATGGAAGTTTGATGCTTTGATGTTGTTTGTTGATGTATTCGTAAAAGAGTAATGTTTGTCTTTTGTTATGAAAAAATACAAAAATGTCGCCAAATCGCATCTGCGGTAAAATAAAGGTTTGTTTGCTTGCGAAGTTATTTAAACTTCAGTTTCTGTTCGAGAACCCATGAAAATGTTGGCTGAATGGGCGCTGGCGGTGATTCCACTTCATTCCTGGCTCAATTTGGTCGTAGTACTTACCGTTAAAAAAAATGAGTCTCGGCCGGAGTGATGTTAAACAATAGTTTTAGTCTCTGTTCTGTTCCATTTTGAATTTAGGCTTGTTGGTAAAAATTAAACTCACAGCAATGTCTATGGTTTCCTGGCCTGGTGGTATGTTGGTAAAAAGGCTTTCAACGTCAAAAGAAATAAAGAATTTATTCATGTGGAGCGTTAGTGTTAAAGATAAAAAATCATCGACAAAACTAAAGAATCTTAGCAGAATGGTCATTAGGTATTAGGGGTTGGAGTAAAGAGCTGAGGTATTTGGCTAATTTGTAGTTATACGAATTGATTGAAGAAATTATAGGTATGCTAATTAGAAATTATCAATATCATCGATATAGTTAGTGTTCATCGCTATTGTTTGATTCAACCTATCAGAAAAGCCATTCGTGTTACGTTGATACTGTCGTTGTTCAGAAAATGAAATTTGCCAACAATGTTTAAAGGATGAAGCAAAATAAATTATAATTAAAAACCCTAACTCTAACATTTTTTAATAATAACCAAAATGGCGCTCATATTAGACGGGTGTGAACTGCATGTAATTGCATTCTTCAACACATCTCCCCCCTGGAAGGAAACCCGCTTCATCACCAGTTTCATACCTTCGGCTCTGACTCTACATAAAGTGTTCCACAACAGTCGTCTTGCAACAGGATCCATTCCAGTTGTTGGTTCGTCGAGAAAACTATGAGTGATCGCCAACTAAAGCTATCGCTGTACTTAGTTTGCGTTTGTTTCCAGCACTGTAAAAGAAAAGGTAATCTTTTGTATCGTGATCTAAGCAGCCTGGGATTGCTATAAAAAGATGGCAGATTTTCGACGTCACATGCATAATTTCCACATAAAATCACTCCTGATGAAGATACTAGGAGTGGAGTATATAAGAACTAAATTTCAAATAAAAGATCATCCCTGGATAAAGACACTAGACTGGGAGTAGCAGAACGCAAAGTTTCAACATCAGATCACCCTGATAAAGCACACTAGACTGGACTATATAAGAACTAAAGTTTCAACATCAGATCACTCCTGGATGAAGACACTGACTGGAGTATACAAGAACTAAAGCTTTGAACATCAGATTACTCCTGATAAAGACACTGAACTAGAGTATATATGAGTAAAGTTGCACAACAGATCACTCATGAACTACACAGGAGTATATACACTAGGTTTAAAGTCAAATAAACCTAAAATGAATTATATAATGGCAAAACCTCGGTGAGCATTTATAGTACACCATTCTATTTAAAGTAGACGACGTTTCATTATACCTGTATGTTTTGTTAACATATCAGCGTGTTCCGTTAGCAACACTGATCTCATTAAATCTTCGATCAATGGATTGATCACATGATTGGGAACTCCACGAAGTGCAGCATACATTTGCAACATCTCCCGTCCCGTCAAAAATCGATCAAAGCATCAAATTGTGGATTGGCCAGCCCGTTAAGTTGACGAACCTTGGTAAACAACATAATTTATATTTAAAATTATAATTTCATTTACAAAATAACATGTATAACGCGTGCTCTGATTGTCGATACCGTGTTTGCATCAAGCTACCCCAATACGGAAATTTTAAAATGGAACATACTAAGTCATGAAAAATAACGTACAAAGGCAATTTTCACCGATTGAAGTATTTGTTGTTGACAATAATGATGCAAACGTAGGAAGGTTTCTGGGGAGGGCCATAATCATATTATGCTATTATATCAATACTTTCCCCCAACTATCGATGGTTGACCACAGTCGGTACTAAATATACAGCACCGGTTACCCTAAACCAAATTTGGTATTAATGTTTTGTTTTCTGCTTACTTAGATACATGGAATTAACGAACATAAAGAAGGTTTTTCTTTACGCAGTTAAAACTAGCTGACGTTTCTACTTTGCCTGTTTCAGGAGTAAAATGGATCCAAGTAAATTCATATGCGAACGGCAATTTCAGGAAATAAATTTTTTATGTTGAAATTTGTAAACGAACTGTAGCCGCGATTCGTATGTATTATTGTCTTCAATTGCGTTTACAGGTCTTTAAATGATCAATTACTGCTGAATCGTGCAAAGTCTGAACGTCGGCTGATTTCAAAGACGAGTAGTTTTTTCAAAACATCCTGTTGAGCCACTACACTGTGGTAATAATACGGGTGGCACAAAAAATGTCAATAAAGTTATCTTGATATATTCCTATACTGTGCTGAGGCTGTATTTCGCTACATAATGTGGTTTCGTTGGACGGTGTGCATTGTGAAGAAGAACCAAAATGGCGGACAATACAACGGAGCATTGAAACGTTTATATTTACAAGGTTGTTTCTGCAGAGGAACTGAAATATATTTGACCAATTACGCGTACCGACAACAAGCAACAACTGAAAAGGAGTTCATTTATAAACAAGTAAGAAATTATTTGTTATGTGTAAGTAAGGGTTAGTTGCTCGATCTTTGAACGTCAAAATGTAATTCGCTTGGTTTTTTATTTATGGCTGGTTACAACTTGTTTTGCGTCGTAATATCATTGAACATTACATGGAGCTCCACTGTAAATGAGCAACACTAAACATTGCAACAGAAATACAGGCATTGCAACGTCAACACTAAATATTGCAAGAGAAATTTACCACTAGAAAATAAATCGGCGCGGTCAAAAATATTTGCCTGTTCCTGGCATGCATTAACGTCATGACCGCGCCAAGGGTGATTTCAACGAAGATTTTCTTTATTTACAATGTAGATGTCATGAAAAAAATGGCAAAAATTGTGTTGTTGTTTTACTCACAGAGAGTAGTGACATACCACAGTATGTTTTCCAAAAGCATCCATTTCAATGGTATTTTATTTGGTGTTGAAAATCTGCAAACCTGTAATTTGCATAACAGCCTTTTTCAATGCCTACATGCATACCATTGCCTGCTCAACCTTTTTCTTTCCAAAGTGATGGGTAATGATAGTTTTGAGACTAGTACGATGGCTAAACTAATAAAACTAACTACGAATTCATTTAATTTACATCCTAAATTCCAAGCATGAAATTCCTTTAAATGCGTTTATGCTCCTTAAGGATGAATTACTGCTTTAAAATCTTGATGTCGGATCAGCCTCGTAGCCAGGCGCTTTGAATTATTTGATGATTAATAAATTGAATGTCACGTGGCGTGTGGGCGTCGCGCGTTAGCGTGGCTGCAGCAAAGCGTTACCAGCCGCGATTTTCCTTATTTGTTATTCGCATATGTCGTCCCGCGCTGCACTTTTTCGCACAAATGATTCAGGGAATCAAAGCGCCTTGGTACGAGGTTAGCATGTTTACAGTTCGCGGACAGATAATTGAAATAAATATACAACGGAACGTCAAGTACCCATCCAATTGTAAATTTGGTTCAATGGTCTTTACATGATTCTTCAATTTAAGCAAAGGAAAGGTCAACAGATCATATACAGTAGCGTAGCCAACCTCGACTTTTACTTCCGCTTTCCTAATATTTTTGTATTTTACTGACAGTGAGGAAAATAGATTTCTAAAGACATGAATAATGGTAATCTTTAAAAAATTTACACAGCGGAAGTAAATCTGCAGGCTGGCTACTACTGATCATATACAACAATAAAAACATACCCGACTTAAATTAGTCTGAATATCCCAAGAGTCAAGGACGGCGGTACTGAAGTTGGAACACATCGCCTGTTAACATTTTAAACATTTGTAGTTTTTCCAGCGCCATTGACTCCCAGGAGACTCGAAGCATTCACCTAAAAGTATTCCCTAAGCTGCATGTGATCCACTGCAGCAATCTTTTCGACGACCTTTTGGAAAAAATAAGGTTAATAAAGAAGGAGCTTTGTTCTTTTGCTTATATTTTCATTGAATAGAAGTTTCAAAACGATGTGAACTTTCTAAAAAGTCTTCAGGAAAATCTCGTTTCATTCTCCAGGATAATATGAGTATTGTATATTTTCAAGACAATCTTCTTTCATTTCTCCAGATTATGAAAGTACAACCTGTTGGAGAGAGTTTTTGGTAAAATATGACAAATATTATCACTGGCAAAGAGAGCTCTATTCCATTCCTGATGCAATTCTGGTGCAACATATTACTATAATTTGTTCTCATTATGCAACGCGACAACACTGGTTGTAAAATTGGCCATTACAGGTTCCTCGTATCTTGAGTGAAAAGATGTCATAGATATAACATAAAACTGTCTAAAAAAGTCTAAAGTGACATTTTAAAAGTTTATTTCAACAAAACCATTATTCAAAAAGCAAAATTTTGTTTCATAGACACCCTTTAAAAAGCCCGTTTCGTGGTGTGAAGACTTTTCTAGTGGTAAAAAATTATTAAGTTATCTTTTCAATCAAGCACAATGAACTCATCGCGGCCATCTTTTGTAACTTTCCAAAATATTGTGTTAAAAAACGAAATTTTTTTTGACATGGTTTCGGCTGATAAAAGAAGGATATTTTTCAACACATCTACAAACACAGCAAGGAGAAATTCTCTACCTGGAACTTTAAATATTTTCGTAAGATCCTTCACTACAACCACGTCTTCGTTCACTTCGTCGTTGAGTACTGGTCGTTTTTCCGCCATCACGTCGGAATCTTCCGTATCGCCGTTTGGATGACTGCTGTCAAACGGATCGACGTACACTGATCTAATGGAACTTCGCAACGACCGAATAGCGTTGAAGTCGATGAACAGAATAATAAGCATGAAGAAGATTCCTTCAAGTGGTAACACCAAAGTAGATAAGATGCAGCTTTGTCACACTTTTGTCACAGAGCTCTTACCCGTGCCAGTTAGTTTCCAGTCCCCTGAAGTTGATCGGTGCGCGCGCATGTCAACCGGAAATAGGGTTTAATAAACATGGCATGGCATTGGATGGCGTGAAAATCGGAAATACGACAAAGCTGGAAGTTGCATGCTATTGACAAAGTAACATTAGATCCGTTTCCTTTTCTCAATCGAAGGTAAAAACGGTAGAAAACGAGGTAATTGCATTTTATAGTTTATAATTTATCGAAAGGTTTACATTTTATCTCTTGAAACAAATGGAATTGAATGTAGACATTGATCTGGCATTAAGAATGAACAAATTGACTTTGGAGTCAGAAAAGGATGAAATAACTGTACGTCAAACTTTGTTAGAAAATAAACTTTTAGACTGCTATGCTGAAGAAATTGCTGCAATGATAAACGCTGAAGTAAATAAGAACTGCAATGGATGCATGATTGATCACTCCTCTCAACTCGAGCATGACTGTCTCATGATGGAGCATGACGAGCGTATGTTGTTGCATTTTGATGATGCCTTGGAAAATGTGTCCGAAGAGATTGTGATCAAAGATTTTATGAAAAGCATTGAAGATGTCAAGCCACCCGTTAATGGACTTGAGATACTAAAATACACTTGTAACGACTGGCATAAAATATTTGTTTCGGATAAAAAGAACAAACTTGAAACGCGAGTCGTTAAGCTTTTGTAAATATATATTATTTATTCCTGTTCGATTCGTAAGGTCAAACAACAAACTTGAAACACGAGTCGTTAAGCTTTGTAAATATATATTTTTATTTATTCCTGTTCGATTCGTAAGGTCAAACCATTACACATTGTTCTAAATGAAATATAAGAAACATGTATGAATTTACTGCTTACATGTTAGCACTTCTGTATACATATACGTAAGCGATGTAATATTACATAGAAAAAAAACATTTTACGACAACTACAAACGAATTAAAACTTACTCGATAAGGTCTTTTATGAGACGATACATGCCCACACGAGGGTTTTACAAGATAATCATCACAGTGATCACATTTTTCTAAAAAATAAAATCGACGCCTCTGTTAAAGTTAATACAAACACTCTAAGGAACAGAAAAAAAGACAAACGGTACTTACTGAAGGTATAAAACGACGCTTATGGCGAGGCCATCCTTCTTCGATTGCATGTTTGGATATTGCATCTTCACAAAGGCTCTCTGTTTCGTAAGTGGTTGAGATACACTACACATGCGCTTGAGATGTGACCTTCGTTGCCATCTCGCAAATGTAAATTATAAATTACCATTGAATAGTATGACCTTGAATAATGTGGCGTGGGTAAGATCTGTGCAGTATCCTAGCTTTTAACTCTGTCCTTCTTAGATTTACAAACATTATTTTATTTTAGTATGCGTTTGTTTTACTGGTTGCTAGAGATCGTATTAGGAGAATTTAAACCAAGAAGAAGCAATCAACTGATAAAAGTGCAACGCGCGTTTGATATTGATATTGCAGTAATTGATACCACAAGCCTATCTGCCTATAGTGGTTTAAATTTATTAACTTATGCATTCAAGATGCGATGTGGCACAACAATTTTAGTTGTTTCAGGCTTACAATAACCGGTTTACTGCCGAAAGTCGCGTATATAGGTAGAAGTGTGCCGTAAGCGTAATATTATTCGAGCTATTTCATGCATCATCACTTTAGGGAATTTCCTTTTCATCTTATGAAGGCGCAAAATATTTCAAAACATCGAGCTTCGCGCAGTATGTATAGCTCTAAGAGGCTCGGTGTTGCATAATTTAGGATATTTCATTTATATTTTTATTGCATGCCAGATTTTATAAGTTCCCATGCAGAGTTTATATTATTAGCTTCCTAAGTATTTTCTTAATTCATGTTGTAGTAGTGCACGTAAGTCACGAAATGTAAACATATAAATAGACTCAAATTTGTAATAGTCAGATGTGTAGATTGTTCATTGCTAATAAACTCCATAAAACAAACCGAATCAGAGTGCAGATCAATTTTCTGACGAACTCAGTGAATTCTGCGACACTCGGCATGTTTCCATTAAACAGATAGAGATAGAAACAATAGCAGAGGATTTTGCAGCTATGCAATATTAAAGTAATTTTCACACTAAACTGAAAATGAAAAGATTTTATTGAACAACGTCACTTCAAAATAAGATACAAGTTATTATGAAACGAATTCATCTAACAAAGTTAATCTTCTTCATCATTGGCAATCTCACCAAAGCTGTACTCTTTTAAAAGTCTGTTGATGAGAAACTTTCTCTTATCAATAGCTGCTTCCATAGCTTCCTGTGGATCAAAGTCGTCATTTTCTATAAACCCTTTCTTTGTATGCATTATTTTTCTGTGGATGGGATCTTTTTCAGTTGGTTTATCCACATAAGACGTTGCATATAAATACTTTCAATTCTTTTGAAGTTTTGGTAGAATGTTAGAATATGCTTGATTTTCAGCTGTCTGCTCATCCAGACCACTGTTCACAAGGCTTTCCTTCATCTCATCGAAATCTACATTACTTCTTTCCCTTGCTTCTTCTATCAAAGGTATCCAAGGATCAGTTTTCTCCAGTTTCAGCCTCATTTTCTATTGACATTGAACTTTCAGATTCATCTGTTGAACTTGTAGAAACATTATCTTCGAAATGCATTCCCTGACTGTCTGAATCTGATTGAGACATTTTTCCTCATCCCTTAGTGGACAGTATTCTTTTCGTGTCTGCGTAAGTTGAAAGCTCGATTAAATACTTTTCCACAATATCTGCAGCTCATTTCGCCGGCACTGCTTTTTTAGAAATGAGACATTTTATGTAGCAATGTGCATTTGTGGGCAAATGAGCAAGTGTGTTGAAGCAGTTATGAGCATTTGAGCAAGTGCTCATAAGTAATTATGAGCATCAATGAGCATTGCTCATCTGCTCATAAGAGGAATAAAGGTTTAAACTATTGTATATAAATTATACCAAGTTGTTATCATGTATTCATTTATGGGTATTGCTCATTTAAACTCCCTCCCCCCCTGCTTTATGATAGCAACTTGGTATAATTTATATACAATAGTTTAAACCTTTATTCGTCTTATGAGCAAGCCATAAGGAAAAAACATACAGACAGCAAGGAATTCATTATGGAAAATTGGAAAAGTTACAAACAACTCTTGTGAACTATGAATGTTGCGAACTATGAATGTAGTTACAAAATGAATGAACGATTAAAAGACATGCCTATGCTTGTGAGGATTTTAAAGTAAACCCTCAAGTGCTTTTAAAATTTTTGTCATAAATATCTGCTAAAGTATGATGTGTTCATATGTAATCAAAAGAGATTTTTGTTGTTTGATTCATGTAGATAATTAGAAAAATATTTAATAAAAATTGTTCATTGTCCAATGTATTCTTATTGTGTGCACTTTGTTCACTATTTTACAAATACCTCCCATTCAAGCTAGTCGAATCATACCGTCTTTCTTTGAATATGTCAAAATGCTTACTAGCGCAGTGGTTATAAAAGTGAAAGCAGAGCATGTTTGCTTTTATTTGCGAGACAATGGACGTACGTTTTAGAACACCTGCCAACTTTTATGTGTGTGGTCAAAGTCAGTCGGGCAAAAGCTATTTGGTTAGGTCGATGCTTTATAATTTAAATGAACTTTTTTATCCTGTTCCAAATAAAATTATTTACTGTTACGGTGAACGGCAAAGTGAATTTGGTGAAATGGAATCAAAAATTCCAAACATTTGCTTCGTCGAAGGATTCCCGGACAACTTATTTGATATTCTGGAAGGTTGTCAAAACTCTTTAGTGGTCGTTGACGATTTGATGTCAGAATGTTCTAGCGATCAACGAATGTCCGATTTATTTACCCGCGGGTCGCATCACCGTGGCGTCTCTGTCATGTATCGAACACAAAATTTATTTCCGCCTGGTAAACAATCCCGAACAATCAGCTTAAATTCCCACTACATGATCATTTTTAAAAACCCGAGAGATTCGCTAGGTATCGCAACATTGGCACGGCAGATGTACCCTAAGAAAACGAATTACCTTCTGCAGTCATTTCAAGACGCCACATGCCGCCCTTACGGCTATCTTTTGCTCGATTTGCATCAACTCACTTCTGACAATATGCGTGTCAGAACAAATATCTTGCCCGGTGAAAAGCAGATTGTCTATGTACATAAGTGATAAGCATCGACATCAACAATCATTTAAACATCATGTCTAAACGAATTAGGAGCAATCTTCCGTACCTGCAAGTACTTGCAAAATCTAAGCCGAAAATTCGAAAGGTTATCATCGAACATGGACCATCTGATGTCATGTTGTGCATTTGTGAATGCGCAGTTAATGTGTTAAAAGGAACTGTACCGATATCTGCGAGTCAAAACGACGCTTGTTGAGGTATAAGAAACATCTCAGAGCCTTAGCGAACAAGAGAATTTCAAGAGCTAAAAGAAAAACTTTTAAATCAAAAGGAGGCAATCTACTGAGCGCCTTCCTACCGCCGGTTTTGAACGTACTAGGAGTTTGCTGAAATAATGAAGCATGCCAAGCGAATGATTTTAGTACCTGAAGACGTTTATAATAAATATGAACAAAAGCAAAAATTTGAAGTTTCGCCAATTACGATGAACATGATGCAAAAAGATACTCAACTCTCACACATCCTTCACCAAGACGGTTTAAGTGACGATCAAAGGCAAAACTTTTAACACAAACTTTGAGCAATTCCTTAATTTGAAGAAACAAAAAGATATTCAGATACCCACAGTACGCGTGATGGATACAACCGACGGGGAAGAAAGAAACACGGTAATAAACAACGAAGTGCGTACATTAGCTGACTCCGTCATTGTACAAAGTGTGCCGAAGACGATGCGTGAACGCGCAACAGCAATACTGCAGCGTCTCAAAACAAAACCAGATATAATAA